AGTATCATATACCCATATTATTGGCAACAAGATCACAATCACATGTCATTACATTTCAAGCCGTCTCATTTGTCGTTTAATGCTAAAGATGACTACGAATTCTTATTGTATATGATCCTTAATACATCCAAACGAATAGGGCTGAAAGTATTTTATTTCCAACAGTATATGGGTACGAGTTGGGTCCAATTGAACCTGGACCTAGACCCGAATAGTGTTCATGTCTAAGTTTTGGACCCGGACCCAGACCCGACCTGCAGGTCCAAATGTTGGACCCATACTCAGACCCGTGTCGGGTTTACCTGCCGGGTCCCATGTCGGGTTCCAGGTCCATTTCCACCCCTACCAGAAAAGCTAGTTGAATGGAGAGTGAATAATGATAGGATAATGGCCAAGTTGATGGGGTCTACAGCTAGTAATATTGAAGTCATTTAAGTACTTTTCAGAATGCCAGAGAGGAATGGTTTTTTCTAGAAGAAATCTATCATCAAACTATCTAAGCAAGGAAGTATCAATTAGTACAGGAACTTCGTTCACTCCACCAAGGTGACCAGTCCATTCAAGCTTTTTATTCTATCATGAACATGCGTTGGGATGCCCTAACCCTTATAGAACCTGAAATCCTTGTTGGGCCCAGTGTAAAGATTGTTGAAATATCAAGAAATAAATTCAGAGTTATTGAGTTCTTGATGGCACTTCAACTTGCATTTGAAAGTATCAAGAATCCCATGCTTCACATGGCTACTCTTCCTACTCTCACTCGCACTCTTTCAAAGTTAATTGCAAAAGAGACTAAGATCAAGTCTCTTAGTATTGTTCCAATGGGAAAATTAAGTTTTGCTGCAACTCAAACTTTGGAACACAAAGACCCTAAACATAGTTCTTCTTATATACCTTGCAAGGATATGTCCTCTGTTAAATGCATTTACTGTAAGGAACTGGGGCATATGAAATTCACATACCTAAAGAAGAAGAAGAAACCTATTATTGCAGTTGTGCAGAGTCAAGCCATCCAAAAGATGCATTCATGATCAATCTTCCATATTTGCTGCCATTGCTTTGTCTTCAATAACTCTTACCATTAAGCAGTTACAGTTTATGCTCTCAATCCCGACTTCATTCTTAATCTAACACATCCATTGCATGTAACAATATTTATGCTTCTTGGTTTATAAACTCAGGTGTCTCTCGCTACATGACTTCCAATGAGTCTACGCTAGTTGATTATAAACGTTTTTATGATACTATTCAAACTGCTGATGGGGACATTATGAAAATATCTAAGGTTGGCTTTATTACCACCACTTCTGATCCATCTGGTAAATTACACATTTATGGTATTTATCATGTTCCATCTGTCACCATGAATCTACTTTATTACTCGATCCAATTGTAATGTTATTTTCTCTCCCTCTAGTTGTTATGTGTAGGATCAGCGACCAAGAAAATTGATTGGGATTGGGCATAAAACTAGTGACCTGTACTTCATGGATTACCTTCATTTGATAACACCTCCATCTGTTAGTGACATATCTGCTCTTGATGCTACTGCCTTATGATATCAACGTCTTGGTCATGTTTTTGCTTCTAGGTTACAATTTCTATTGTCTTGTGGTGTTTGTGGTCCTATAACTAATAAAGTGTCTGTTGATATCAAACATTGTGAACTTTTAAGCTTGCAAACTCTCATGCTTGGACATTTAATTACAATAATACAATTTCCACTTCTAAATTTGATCTTGTACATACTGATGTATGGGGCTTGCTCCTATTTCTTCAAAAGGGGGTTCACGATATTTTATTACTTTTATTAATGGTCACACTCGATATACATGAATGTTTTTTATGAATATTCACACTGAACTTTTTGATATTTTTACCAAATTTTACTCCTATGTTGAAATTCAATTTTCTATCGAAATTAAAACTTCGTGCTCAGATTTAGCCAGGGAGTACATTAGTGAGATGCTTCAAAATTTCTTTTTAGATAGAAATATTCAACATAAAAAAATCTTGCCCTTATACTCCTGCGCTGATCGGTATTGCTGAACGTAAAAATCACCATATTTTAGAAACCACAAGGGCTATTCTTTTTCTAGCTTTGTTCCAAAGTCATTTTGGGCTAAAGCAATTTGCACCACTATCCACCTAATAAACATTATGCCTTCTTTTGTTTTATTTAGGTACTCACCTTTTGAGTAACTTTTTTTTCACCCCCTCTGACTACTCTACTCTTCGTGTTTTTGGTTGTACTTGCTTTGTTTTGTTGCCTGCATATGAGCGAGACAAATTATCGGTCAAAGCTATGAAATGTTATTTTCTAGGGTATGGTGAATTTAAAAAAGGCATAGGTGCTATGATCCAGAAACCAAGTGACTTCGAGTATCTAGACATGTTGTATTATTTGAACACATCCCTTTTTACTCGACATCCACTTTTACCAATTCTTCTTCCAGTTTTTCTTTTCTTATTCATTTTTTTGGTAATGATTCATCACCTTTGGCATCTCAGTCATCGGATTTTATCTTTGAAACAAATTGTCTGGAGGAAGATCATTCAGGTGCTACTACAAATCCCAGTACTTACTTGCTAATCGTGCACATACACCTATTGTGCGCCATAGTACACTTGTTTGTGTCATACCTTCCTGATTTGTTGACTATGAAACCCACTTACCTTGGTATCAAGCCTTTCTTCCCTACATTCATTCTTATTGTGAGTCATAAGCCTATAAAGAAGCTGCTAATCAGATGGAGTGGCAGCAAGTAATGACATACAAAATGGATTCCCTTGATCGAATGCATGCTTGGGACCTGGTCCTTTTTTCAAAAGGAAAGAATGCCATTGGTTGTCGATGGATCTATAAAATCAAAACAAAAGTAGATGACAGTATTGAATGATATAAACTTTGGCCATAAAATGATACAATCAACAATATGGAATTGACTTTGCCGAAACTTTTGCCTAGTAGCTGAAATGACAACTGTTCTAGCACTTATTTTGTTGCATTTATCTAATAATCGCCTTTATATAAGCTATATGTCAAAAATTCATTTCTTAATGGTGATCTTGACAAGGAAATATATATGAAGCAATGTCCTAGGGCTACAGATTCTCAGAATATGGTATGTATAGACTCAAACAAGCACCTCGTGCTTGGTCTAAAAATTTTTGTAATGCGGTTGTATCAGCTAGATTTCAGCAATGCCATCATGATCCACCCCTATTTGTGCCTGATACTTCTAGTGGTTGAGCACTTATGTTACTCTATGTGGATGACATGATAATTCTGGTGATTATAAGGGTACCATTCATAAGATTAAACAAAAAATCAATCAAATATTTAAAATGAAGGACTTAGGATTCTTGTGCTATTTTCTTGGCCTAGAAGTTGTTTATTCTCCTCGTGGCTATTTGTTATCTCAACACAAGTATGCCTCAAAAGTTGTCTCCCAAGTACTAAGAGAGTTGATACTCCTAATGAATTGAATAACAAAATTCATGCAATAGATAATGAACTACTCCCAGACCCAACATTTTACGGTCAATTGGTTGGGACATTGATATATGTGACAATTTCTCACCAAGATATGGCTTATACTGTGCATCTGGTTAGCCAATACTTGAGTGCTCCTTGATCTATTCACTTAGATGCAATCTTATGTATTCTTTGTTATATCAGGGATACTTGACACCAGGCTTTTTTTTCCTCTTCTTCTTCCTCACTTGAACTTCTGGCATACCGAAACTCATATTTTGCAGGGAACCTAAGTGACTGTAAATCAACTACAGGATCATGTATATTTCTTTTGTGACTCTCTTTTATCTTGAAAAAGTAGTAAGCAAAAACGTATTTCTCAATCTACAATATAAGCATAATATAAGACAATGACGCAAATTGCAACTGGAATTGTTTGGCTTTGATGGTTGCTTGCTAATATGAGCGTTATTGTTACCACTCCCTCAATACTTTACTGTGACAACAAGAGTGCCATTGACATTTCTAAAAATCCAGAGTTTCATGAATGCACCAAGCATATTGAAGGTGATTGCCACCTTGTTCGGCAATAATTTTTGGTAGACACAATCTCTCTTCCATATATTGCCTCTTCTGAGCAACTTGCTAACTTCTGCACCAAAATACATACTGCACCTCAATTCTCTCAATTTCTCTCCAAACTCTCCATGATTTATACCAAACCATCTCGAGTTTGAGGGGGAGTGTGAAATTATAGTAACTTGTATATATTGATTTTGTACAGTATTTCCTTTTCTATTATGTGTACTCATATTATGAAGGCTATCGATTCCATACGTTTCTCTTTGTAACAATACACTGCTTTGTAACCCTATAAATTAAGGGCCCTGTACACATTTTTGATATATAGAAATATAATACTCTATAACTCAAATCTTTCTGGCTGCAGATACAACAGTTGGTGGGGTTTGTGATGGTCATTTTTACTCATTTGTATAAGGGAAACCGACCTAGAAGCTGAAGACCTCGTAAAAATGGATGTCTATTGGTCACAACTTGTGGTTACTTCTGATTGGTAGATTTGTTCACTTTTTGACATTTTATATTGTTCTTGTAACCTGTTTGTTGCAATAAAAATTACATAGTATTTGAGCTAAAGTATTTAGATTGATAAGAGAAATATTTGAGCCAAAGTACGAGAAATTATATAAAGAAACCATTTATTTTTTGTACAAAGAGGTCACAATCATTCTTGTCCATTGGATTTCAAATTGGGTGATTGTAAGAGTATCATTTTAAAGATTCAAAGTTCAATTTTTTTTTTTACGAACTTCGTGACTAGCCCAAGCCATCCAATTTGACATCTGATGAGTATGAATGATTGTGATCTCTTTGTAATAAAAATAAATAGTCTCATTGTATAAACCCCACAAAGTATTTAGATTGATAAGCTCATTGTATACAATCCCCCAAAGTGTTTAGATTGATAAGAGATAGAGAGAGAGAGGGGGGTAGAGAGATCCGTATTAATTATTGATATCTCACTACATTATAATGCAATATTTAGATTGATACATGGTTATTTTTCCCAGTTTTCAGCTCATCACTTTACACAGCCTTAACCTGTAACTTTACAATTTACATAACACTTCCTTCATTCTGGCTTTGTATTCACGTGTGCGGGGTGCTTCACGTGCGTCGGCTGTTGCATTTGCTGGTAGAATGCAGCCATCTTATTGTAAAGGTCCATGTTCATGCTCTATGCAACAAACATTAAAAACACATATGAGAGAGAGAGAGAGAGATGGAGAGAAAGGAGACAAACCGTTCTTAATTTTGTAAAAGGGCAAATGGGTTGGGTCGACCTTGGCATGGATGGCTCTGGGCTTGACTAGGACCCAAATAATGTGTATCTGTAGTGTGTCGAGTCCGAGTTTGAGTTGGAGATCGGGTTAGATCTAGCTTGAATTTTGAAGGGGTACCAGATCTAGACCCACTTCAATTTTCAATTTTACCCCTCATGGAGATGACAAAAGTATCCTTTGTCTTGTAGTAATATTTACAAAATTGCCCTACAAAATTAAGTTTTTTTGAAAAATAGACTACAAAATTAATAAATCCACCCTTCACAACTATCTTTTTTTTGAACCTTCATAATTCGATGGGTTGTGAAGTTT